TCGAAACAAATTATTAATAGTATTTGCCCCGAAAGCAGAGACGAAATTCTTTAAGCGGACGAATTAAGAGAGATCGGCGGTTAGCAAGGCAATAATATCCACAAAAAGAAGATTTCCACAAAGGTATCGTTCCAGTCTGAAAAACGCGAGCCTCGTTTGAGGCGACACCCGGCTCGTAATTCAACAACCGCGGTTACCCACTAACCTTAACCGACTGCGTGAAACAGATAATAATGACAAGAGTCGATAATAGGTCAACGTCGGAGAAAGTTTTCGGCGAGTCGTTCCGTTATATACCAGGAAGATGAAGCAGGCCGAAAAGCGGCTCCCTCAGCCATCGGTGACGCCCACTGCGATCTGGGTCGATCATCGACGTCGTTCTATCGCTGAATTTCGCCGCTCGATCACTCCTGAACAAACAAACATCTTGATTTTATCAAGGTTCCATTTGAACATTTGCGCGTTCTTTCACATTCTGTCGAAATATTTTTTTAGACTATTGCTTATTCAAAAGGAAACTCTTCGATGAAGAATTTGTTTGATTATGTTATTTATATAGAAATTTATACTTTCATTCGCTACGATTTAATTTAAGAAACGAGGTATGGATACTCGTACATTGATAAAATTTATGAGTCATTGATAATGAGGAAATGAAAATTTGAACTCTTCACAATAACACGTAAGTAGTAAGTTGAGATAATATTATACATACAACGAAATGTAGAATGTTTTCTTTGAATTCTTTTTTTTTTTTTCTTGTCAAAGTATATGGAAGAAGAATAATAAATTTAATCGATAAATTCGAAGAAAGTACCATTACACTCTGGTAAGAAATTTATTTCTTAGTTATCTTCAATCAAAAAATAAAGCTACAAAGAATATACCTAAGTACAATCCACATCATTTAACAACATAGAACGACAAGCACCGATCACTTACTTGTCAGAGACATCCACATCAAATCTCCATTCCCGCAATCCAACTCCAACTCTCCATGCCCACGATTGACACATAAATATAATACTAAAATCACGTTTGATTTCAATTAGACGAAACTAGAACGAGTATCCGACGATCGATTGCAATCCTTCTAAATAATTTCTCACCGCTCAACAGGAGATCGGTCACGTGAACTTTCGACATCCCGCCGCACAATTTATTTAATCTTCCATTCCCCGTTGCCGTCACTTCGTCTATTAATCTATAACGTAATTAAGATTGTTCCGCCAGTCCACGCAAAGATAATACACTATACTTTAGTACGATTGCCTCACAAGGACGAATTGCTCTTGTCGCGTCCCGTTACATCGTCGATCGGTCACGACGATATAATCGTTTCACGTAACGATCACGTAGAAATGGTCACTGGGGCGATCATCGTTCCACGTTAATTACGATTAATTGCCAGACTGGTAATTGCACGCTTCCTTCCACGCTCACTTAAAAAGGTTTCCCGCGAAATGCGACGCGCGATCCCTCGCACTCCAAAGAGTTCTCCGCTTAGCGTCGTCGCTAATTGCGGACACCTGCGAATCCAATTGCTGCGAACAATCGAACGCTCCCGGGGAACAATCGGAATTCTGCTCCTTTCGTTGTTTGCGCATCCGTGGGTATTGATATAGTTCGGCCTAATCCTATTATAGAATAATAACGCGTCTTGGTTGGGTCCGATCGGATGAGATAGAGTATGAATTAAATTGCGGTTTTCTGAATGCCGGTCTTAGAGAATGGAAGACAAATGTGCTTCCCCGATTATCTTTAATAGTTAGTTGATTGTTGTTGGCTCTTTAGGTAGTTAGATGGATTAAATAGTCTAGATTAGGTGGAGCATTTACATTGTAAGGGACTTAACGATGGAATGTAGAATAATTTAACGTAAAATTCAATAAAAGCTAGTAATTTAATAGAACGTTTTGATACGATATAGCGTAATAATTGGATAATACATTAAGAGTGCATGCGATGAACAATTAAAATTTTGTCATTTGTACCGTTTTTCTTCTGATTTACTTTCTACGAACATTCTAAATTAGAATCGAATTAAAAGATCAAGCCATGATATTAATCATTAATCTCCCATAAACGTCGAGTACTCTATACCGCGTCTAGTCGACTTTAGAGAAACTATTTTAATCAAGGGAAAAGAAGGAAAACTCACGAACTAGAAATGATCCAAGAATACCAGAAAATAACACGGATAAAATCGGAGATCTTCCCCTCGAGAAGCTATGATCACAATTGGAACGTTCTACTGAATGTATCCTACAACCTTCACGTTGAAAATTCCCCTTAATTGACCCTCACGCGTAATTTCACTATTCACCGCTAAACATCAAGGTCCGATCTCGATTTTTGTCAAATAAAATACTACGAGAAAACGAGAAGTAAGGATAGATAAGAAAAGGGGAAGAAGTACGAAGCGCGATCCGTGCAATCAGAAGTCATCTGCAATCTCGACTGCCGAGACCTTGAAATCACTTATGACTGTGATCGCGTCGATTTCCCTGTAATCTCGGGATTATCGAAGGCCTGCGAACGGAGAACTTCCCCTCTCGTTCTCGTTGCACGCGTTCCGTCGTTGTACATACGATGGGAAAGGCTCGGTTCGGATTACGCGATCCCGACGCGATAATGATGATTACCGCGCGCGTCACGCTCGTCCACGGACCACGGGAGCCATTTTTCTCGCCGTGTCGTGAAATCGTACACCGGCGCGAGCGATTACGATATAAATCGATTGGTTTCGTGCCGCGGATTAATAACGGATAACGGAATCACGGATTAGTTGCATGCGCGTTACCACTGCCTGAGACCGAAACAATCACCGATCGCCGTGACTCCAAATTGCTGTAGATGTACCGCGGCGAGAAAATGCGCGTTCGTACGAAATCGATTGGTTTTTATGGTAGATTTTTGTAGAGTTTTCGGACGATTACGTGAATTTGATCGTTCGTTGTAGATGCTCGATAGCTGGAGTTGATACCTGGATTTTGTTCGAATTGAAGTATGTTACGATTCGTGTGAAAACGTGAGAGGTTTAAGTCGTCACTTTTCGCTGTTTTTGGAATTGTTTCGAAGATACAGGACTCTAAAGATTCTAATTTGAAATAATTTTTATTGTTGCGAAATGTCAAACACAGGCAGTTTGTCTCTTTTCTCATTCAATCGTGAATGATTGTTATTCTCTTTATTTTTTTTTTTTTTTTTT